CACCTTCCAAGTAGCTAGGATTACAGGTGTGAGGCACGCACACCGGCCTCCTCTTCTTCCTCTCCGTCTTCTTTTTTGACACTTGGTTTTACTATCTAGCCTAGGTTGGCCTCAAACTTATGACCCTCTTCCCTCAGCCTCCCTGGTGCTGAGGTTACAGGCACGCACCATCCGGCTTGGCTTTGAATGCATTTATCGAGCATTTGGGGTTCAATCAATTCCCCCGGGGGCACTGGCCAAGACGCAGGGTGGCACAGCCTTCCCCTCAGCATCTGGCAGGTGAGGTGCAGGCAGCGGACAGGAGGGAGGCTGGGGTGTCCCTTCCTCATTTTCCTTCTACCTGTCTCCCTGTCCTCCAGGCTAAGGTCACTGCGCCCAGCCTGTGACCATGGGTCGGAAAAAAATCCAAATCTCCCGCATTCTAGATCAAAGGAACCGACAGGTGAGTCCTGGTGGAGTGGTGTGTGGTGGGGGGCACAGCCCGGGCAAAGGCCTGGCCATTTTGGGGAGGTTGTAAGGGTCTGAGGAGATATGTGGAAGTGTGGGATGGAGGGTCTGCTGGTCGTCATGGTTATTATGTATTTATTCCGTGACTCAGAGCGCTGGAGGCAGAGAATTAGAGACACCAAGTGGGCTCTGCCTGGGGGGCTACAGAAGACTTCCCGAAGGAGAAGGGACATTTGGGTTGGGTTTTGAAGCACCGGTAGGAGTTTGTGAGCAGCATCAGAGCGCATGGGGTGGCGAAGCAGCTGCAAGGACAATCAGAAAGGTCATTTGCCGTGTCTCGTCCCCTGCCCCTGTGGGTCCCGGGCCCAGGTGACGTTCACCAAGCGGAAGTTCGGGCTGATGAAGAAGGCGTACGAGCTGAGCGTGCTGTGCGACTGCGAGATCGCGCTCATCATCTTCAACAGCGCCAACCGGCTGTTCCAGTACGCGAGCACCGACATGGACCGCGTGCTGCTCAAGTACACGGAGTACAGCGAGCCGCACGAGAGCCGCACCAACGCCGACATCCTGGAGGTGCGGCGGGAGAGGCGGGGCGGGCGGCCGCGGCGGCCTGCGGGGGCGTGTCCACGGGCAGGGGGCGTGTCTACGCACGGGGGGCGTGCCCACGCGCAGGGGGCGTGCCTACTCACGGGGGCGTGTCTATGTACAGGGGCGTGTCTATCCATGGGCTGTCTTCTGCAGGGGGCGTGTCTACGCACGGGGGGCGTGCCCACGCGCAGGGGGCGTGCCTACGCGCAGGGGGCGTGTCTATGTACAGGGGCGTGTCTATCCCATGGGCTGTCTTCTGCAGGGGGCGTGCCTACACGCAGGGGCGTGTCTATGTACAGGGGCGTGTCTTCTACAAGGGGCGTGTCTATGTGTAGTGGGCGTACCTACGTGCAGGGGGGCGTGTCTATCCTCTGGGGAATGTGCCGGCTGCAGGGGGCGTGTCTACGTACAGGGGGCGTGTCTATGCAAAGTGGGCGCGTCTACGTTCAGGGGTGTCTCTATGTGCAGGGGCGTGTCTGTCTACAGGGGGCGTGTCTATACGCTAGGGAAGGGCGTTCTGCAGGGGGCGTGTCTATCTCCAATGGGCGTGTCTACGTTCAGGGGCGTGTCGTCTGTTCCCTGGAGAATGTGCCTGTCTGCAGGGGGCGTGTCCATCTGCAAGGGGGCGTGCCTTCTGCACTGGTGTGTCTCCCTGCAGGGGGCGTGCTATCCACAGGGAGCATGTCTGTGTGCAGACGCGTGTCCGTCTGCCAGGGTCTGTCTTCTGCAGGGCTTGTGCCTGCTGCAGGGGGCGAGCATGAGAGTCCTGCTGAGATGGATGTGCACAAAGGGAGAAAGACAGGGGACACACAGAGAGACAGAGACAGCAAAAGACTAAGGCACACACCAGGTTCTACAGGCACACGCACTGAGAAGAGAACAAAAGGCCTGCTGTGTGACCTGGGTGGGTTCTTGGCCTCTCTGCTCCCTTGTTCACACAGTTGGAACTACTAGAGGGTAACTCACTGGGGTTTGGTCAATGGGATTTGGCTGGAGGGGCACCTGCCTGCATGCTGCTCTATCCACAGAGCTGGGAGGGGAAGGGGTCCATCCTAGTGTTTCCTGTCCCCACAGACACTGAAGCGGAGGGGGGTGGGCCTCGATGGGCCAGATCTGGAGCCCGATGAAGGGTCTGAGGGGCCAGGAGAGAAACTGCGGAGACTGGGAGGTGATGGAGGTGACCCAGCCTTGCCCCGGCCCCGGCTCTATGTAAGTGACCCCCTGCTCCATAATGAGTGCCCACCCCCAATCTACACCCAGGTGGCTGAGGTTAAGACTAAGAGATAGACCTAGGGCCAGGACCAGGATGCCTCAAATTTGGAGGTGGGCAAGGAAGGTTTCCTGAAGGAATGGACATTCCAGCTGGGACTTTGAAGGATAAGTAAGAGTTCACCAGGCAAACAAGTCCTTCCTTCTTTATTTCTTTGACTCATCAAATACCCCCAGGCAGTCCTTTCAGTACCAGCTCTATGCTGAGTGAGCGGCCTCAGTTCTAGACCTAGTTAGTGAGGAGAGCCAGAGCCGGAAGGGTTCTGGGCCAGAGCTGGGAGTGGGTAGGGACCCCAGAGAGGGCGTGGCAAAGGCTTCCCGATGGGGAGGCTGTACTTTCTTTCCACCTCTGTCCACAGCCGGCAGTGCCCACCATGCCCAGCCCAGACATGGTGTATGGGGCCCTGCCCCCACCAAGCTGTGACCCAAGCGGGCTGGGTGAGGCCCTGCCCGCCCAGAGCCGTCCATCTCCCTTCCGACCTGCAGCCCCCAAAGCTGGACACCCAGGTGAGCCAGGTGCACAGGCCCTGGGGGGGGATTAGAGGGCGGGGGACTGTGCACAATGCAGGTGGCTCTGGCACCACCTGGCCGGGCGTGTTACCCAAACCTCCAATGTCATTAGATGACACATTGGGATCTCTTCACCAGGCCTGGGACACCCTCTCTTCTCACCGAGCCACCTCACCAGCAAGACACCGCCCCCCCTGTACCTGACGGCAGATGGACGGAGGCCGGACCTGCCTGGTAGCCTGGCTCGAGGGGGTCTGAGTACCCCGGTGAGTGGGGAGAGGAGGTCGGGGAGCTGGTGAGGGCAGATGGGTGGCCTGGGTGTGGGCCTCAGTTTCCCCTCTCTGCCCACAGAGAACCCTCTACAGCAGCCTGCAGAGCCCCAGCACCACTGCAGCCCCTGGACCCCCTCTGGGGAGCTTTCCGTTCCTTCCCGCAGGCCCCCCAGGTAAGCCTGGGCACCTCTACATACCTGCCTGCTGGGAGGGGTCTGCACTGCGCTGAAAGCCCAGGCATGGGGGGCTCGGGGGGCCCCTGCCTCAGTGTACCCCTCTTGCCTTCCAGAATACAGCCTGGGAGACCCCCCGCCACCCCCTGGCTTGCTGCAGCCCCCCACACTGGGCCCCTGGCAGTCCTCGAGGGCGGATGGGCCCCCAGCCACCCCTGCCCAGTCCAGGTAAGCACACTCTGCGCCCCCTGCATACCGGGGTGCTCCGAGGGGCCCCCCACCCGGTCCTGCAATGCCCCAGTCAGTGCTGACCCCTGGTGGCCATGGCAGGAACTGCGCCCTGTCTCTGCCCATCAGCCATTGCTCTCTGGTTGATGGATGGCATTTTGGGGGCCCCCAGAGGGTTGGCCACCCCCTCCTTTCCCAGGGTCCTCCTGAGGAGACTTTGCTCACACTCGTCACCTCCCTGGCCACTTCCCTTCCTTGCTGAGCTCAGTCTCTCTCTCTCTCTCTCTCTCTCTCTCTCTCTCTCCGATTACAGTGGGGGCCGCAGCCTGGGTGAGGAGGGCCCCCCCACCCGTGGAGCCTCCCCACCGACGCCCCCAGTCAGCATCAAGTCTGAACGCCTGTCACCCGCTCCTGGGGGACCCGGCGACTTTCCCAAGACCTTCCCCTATCCGCTGCTCCTCGCCCGGCCTCTGGCTGAGCCCCTGCGGCCAGCGCCCACACTGCGACGGCTGCCCTCGGCCGATGGGTGGCCCCGATAGTGACCCCCGGATGGTGAGGGCGCCCGGGGACCTGGCCAGCCCCCTCTGGCCTCGGCAGAGAAGACTCAGTGGTCCCCGTTCATGGTGGGGGCTGGGGAGGAGCTCCCGAGTTCAGGTGCACACAGGGGGCTCTGTCCCCCTTCCCGCTTGTGAGCACCAATAAAACACGTGGTGCCCATGTGCCTGGGCTGTGGTCACTCTCAGACACTGCTCAGAAGGGGATCCCCCACCCCTTCCTGCTGGTCTTAGTCTGGGGTGCTCCCTGCAGAAGTCCATGCTGAGAGGGGTAGCCAGGGGACACCTGTAGAGGAGGCTAGGCTCCCCACAGCCCCTGGCCCGGCCAGGGTGGCTCCTAGGGGTGTCGGGTTCTGGGCTCATGAAGCCCCCAGGCTGGGGTGCAGCCGTGGTGGTGAATGTGGGGTCCCTTGACCAGCAATTTCCTTGTGCCCCAGGCTCAGAAGCAGGGTGCATGTACACCCACTTTGGGGACACACGCTGTACCCAGGGCCTGTCCCCTACACGAGGGCAGCCAGGGTATCCAGGAACCACAGGGTGTTCCTAGAAAAGCACCCCAAGGTGGCCTCTGTGGGATCTTTAGGACACTCAGAGATCTGACCCCTACCCTGCCCCACTCACCCCTCTGGAGCTCACTTCAACCTTAAGAGGCAGCTGAATTCTGCAGCTGTCCCCACCGAAAATCCATCTCTGGCTCAGTCACCTCCACCCAGCCCCCTACAAGTGCCAAGCCACAGGGCACGGCGGGCCACGCCTGTAATCCCGGCACCTGGGAGGCTGAGGCAAGAGGATCTGAGTTCCAGGCCAGCCCAGGCTCCACAGTGAGACTCTGAAAGGAAACCTGGGGTGCAGCTCAGTTTGCAGTGCTTGCCTGATGTGCACAAGGCTCTGAGTTTATCCCCAGCATTGAAAAACGTGTACAAGCGCCTCCCCCAGGGCTCTGGGGGACATAGATTTGGGGGATCAAGGGCTAAGAAGGCGGGAGGTGGACAGGAGGTGACTGGTTGTTTGGAAGCAGGCCCACCAAGCCCCCAGGGTGGGCGTGAAGGGAAGCATGTGCCTGGGTGGAAGCGGTACGGGAGCCCACATTGTGCACGCCAGAAGTCCACATGGGGTGAAGAGCAAACACGCCACCCAGTGAACTCCCACCAGGGTGTCACCGTCACAGCATCTCAGGGAACCAGACGCAGGATTAGGGACCGAGGAGGAGGATTAGGGTTAGGACCATGGCAGCAGATGCCTTGGGGGAAACTGAGGCACAGCCAGAGGGCGCTTCTTCCTCACTCCTGGATCTCACTCTCGGTGGCCAGGGAGCCGGACAGTCTCTGGAGTCCACGCCCGGTGCGATATTCATTAAAATGTAGGCCGGGAGGGGGCGTTTGGGGGTGGGGGTGCACCTGAGGTCCCAGCTACTGAGCCCAGGAATTTGAGGACAGTCTGCGAAACAACATCGTGAGACCCTGATCCAAAGAAACAAATTAAAAAACTGGGTGCTTTTTTTGGGGGGGTGGGAGACCAGGGAGGATGGGCTTGGCTCTGAGACCCCATCCCTGGGAGGCTGCACTTCCTTCATCTGGCACCAGGTGGCGCTGGCGGTGCGCTTTGAATTCAACCCGCGGCAACCAAGTCAAAAACGCCTTTCGTGAAATCACTGTGAGCTGTGACTTCCTGGTGGGCACGCAAAGATAAAATAAAATATAAACAGGAATGCATAAGAACTCCACCATTCAATGGACCCCAAGTCTTCCAGGAGTTTAGTCACTTAAAGTGGCCCAGGCCTAGGCCCAGGCATAACAATGGAGATCAGAGCTGAAGAGCTGATCCCCAGAAACAGCCAGTGAGACAGTCAGACCTGCATTAAGGACGTACAATGTCCACTGTGGACAGAGTACGGACTGCCAAGGATGGCCAATCCTATGTTCTGGATCTGGGGTGTCCCCCAAAGGGCCATGTATAGAAGGCTTGGTCCCCAGCCTGTGGGCTTTTGGGAGGTGGTGGGAACTTTAACAGGTGGAGCTTGGTGGGAGGAAGTGAGGTCATGGGGTGGGGCATGGATTTGAAGACCATTTCCTTTTTCTGACTTTGCTTCCTGTCTGCCATGTGCTCCTGCCATGATGGACCAGCTCACCACAGGCCCAAAGCAGCACAGCTAGTCCACTCTTCCTACTCTCCCTTCCAACAAGGGTTGATTGTCCCTTGTTTTTTTGTCACAGGGATGGGAAGATGGGTGAGTCACACGTTGTAGGGTGGGGGACATGGATTTGTCCCCTGCAGGGTGAAATGAAGTCACATCCAGTGTGGAACAGAAGGACTGAACAAGGAGCAAAGGACAGAGAGCAGTGGTCCCCTCATCCACAGGGGCCATGTCTCAAGAAAACCCCCACTGGATTTCCAAAAGCCTGGCTAGTACCAGATCCCAAAGATCTGTCATTCCCCTATACAAGATAGCTATGACAGAGTTTAGTGTATAAAGTAGGCACAGCAGAGGTCAACAGCAACAATAAAACAATTACACCGAGGTGTTGTAATAAAAAGTATGTGAATGTGGTCTTTTTTCCCTCAAAATGTCTCATTGTACTGAACTCACCCTTCTCCTTGGGGCGATGTGATGATACTAGCTACTTGGGAGGCTGAGATGGGGAGGATCAAGGTTCAAGGCGAGCCCAGGGAAAACGAGCTGGAATTGTGGCTCAAGCGGTAGAGCACCTGCTTTGCAAGTGTGAGGCCCTGAATTCAAAACCCAACCCCGTCCCTCGCCCCACCCAAAAAAAAAGAAAAAGAATACTTGGGTCAGTGGAAGCTACTGAATGCTCTTGATCAAGGGGAGTTCCGACGGTGTTTGGATGAATAATGTCTTCACTGCAGACTTGCAAGGTCGGTGCAGGAGTTTCATAGATAGATTCCTACTACACAGGAGTCCAGGACACAGTGATCTGAGCGCATGTGACGCACTAGAACTACAACTTCCAGCATGCAACGCGCGCAACCGACACCTCCCCGTACCTTGTGATTTGCTTGGCTCTCAGCCTACTGATTGGTTATACGGGCTGCTCGTCAGACAAGAGCGAGGTTCTGATTGGTCGGACTTTTGCAGCGTGCCCTAGCCTCAAAACGGTGGGTACTCTCCCTGCACTCGGGCCGGCGACATGGTGAGTGTCCCTCTGCGTGGTGGCCCCTGAGGGGACCAGAGGAGCGGGAGCAGGAGACACCGAGGGGACAGGACCCCTTTGTGGGATTCGCGGTCGCACTGGGGACCGCGTTACCCTCTCTGGGGGCGCAGAGCCTCTCGGGGAGTCCGCGGGGGTCGCACCGAGGGGACCGGAAGTCCCTGAGAGTGCTGGGGGGGACTTGCAAGCCTCTGGGGGACACGTTCATGGCTTGGGGGCCCTGCCCAGGGGTTGTGACCCCAAGGAAGAGATTGGGGTCCCCCAGCATGTTCGGAACCCCGCGAGGGTGGTCTGGGGTCCCCTCTGCGGAGGGCGTGGGGGATGGGCTCCATCGGGGGTCCCTGCGGGGATCACAGGGCATGCATGCAGGGGCGGGAGAGTCCCGAGGGGTGGGGCCAGCCGAGGGGTCTGGGTGGCTCAGGGGGTCTCCCACAGGGGACAGCACGGGGGGACCCTCCGTCCTCCTGGGGCTCCGAGGCCATCCCGTGCAGTGCGTGGCTCAAATTCTGCAGGCCAGGCTGGCTGAGGCTGGGTGACAGCCCTGCAGTCCCGAGGGTCCTGCAGGGGTGGTGGGGAAGGGGGTGGTACTGGAGAGGCTGGGGGGGCATCCTGCATCCTGGCCCTGCTTGGGGGATCCCTAGAGAGGGGCGTTGGGGCTGAGGCTGGACGAAGAGCAGTGGTGGGGGGGCTCTTGAAAGTGGGGCCTGGTTCCAGCCTGCCCTGAGAGTGGGTGGAGGCAGGTGGCCCTGACTTTAGCAGAGTGACCAGGGAAAGGTCTGCCGGCGCGCGGGGACCCCAGCAGCTTTATGAGTGCCCCTGTCCAGTCCACTTTGCTCCCCCTCCTTCCTGTCCCTGATGCACTGGGATGCAGCCTGAGCTAAGGTCCCTTCTTGGGGCGATCGCAGAGGGTGGTGGGGTCCAAGCAGTGGGGCTCAGGCAGGGCCCCAGGGGGAGAGAGTCGGCAGCAAGGCAAGGTGGATGGCAGAATCCGAGGGAGGGATGGAGAGGGGTCCCGCGCCCCTTGGTGGTCTTCAGCTCCACAGAGATTCCCACTGGAGGTGCTGCCGGGCTGGTCCTGTGGTTTATGTTTTGTTTTGGTGGGCCTGGGATTTGAACTTAGGGCTTTGCACTTGCAAAGCAGACACTACCACTTGAACCAAACCTCCAGTCCATTTTGCTCTGGTTATTTTGGAGATGGGGGTCTCATGAACTGTTTGCCCAAGCTGGCCTCGAACCTCAGTCCTCTGGATCTCAGCCTTTCAAGTAGCTGGGATTACAGGTATGAGGCACAGGTGCCAGACCAGGCCAGTGGTTTAAACTGTGGCAAAGGGTGAGTAGTGGCCACACCTGTCATCCCAGTTCTGGGGAGGCTGAGGCAGGAGGATGGAGAGCTCTAGGGCAGTCTGGGCTGCAAAAAACCCTGTTTCAAAAAACCAACCAAACCCAAAACCCTATTGGTGATAGGTCACGGGGATAGCACAGAGGGAGCAGAAAGGCTGGTGAGGGCTTCCCAAAACTCTGATGTTTGGACAGCCCTGGAGGGTGCATGGGGGAGGGGTCCTAGGAGGAAGGGCAAGGCCTGAAGAGACTGCACCCACCGGGCTTGGAGGGGTCATGTCCCACCCCCATGGTTCTTGGTCCCAGCTGAGAAGGAAGGAAGAAGGGAGGGAGGGAGGGATGGAGGGACAGAGGGAGGGTATCAATACAAAAGTATAAACATGCCCTGGGGGTGTAGGCCTGGTCTCTGATGTGGGTGTGGGGGAGACCAGGCCAGGGTGAGGTCCTGAGGCCAGCAGAGACCCCCAGGGTTGCACAGTCTGGGATCACTCACCCCAGATCCCTTCTCCAACATTCTGTGAGAGCCACACTGTCCTGGGTCCTCCTGGCTTCTCTATAAATAGCCTGATATTGCCTGAGAGACCTGGTGACCTTCTGGCCAGCCTGGCTGACCTGTCCCTTCCCCCAGGCGGTCCTCGGAGTGCAGCTGGTGGTGACCCTGCTCACCGCCACCCTCATGCACAGGCTGGCGCCCCACTGCTCCTTTGCACGCTGGCTGCTCTGCAATGGCAGGTGAGCCCCGCCCACGCTGGGCGGAGCCTGCGTGACCACGCCCCAAGGGAACTCAAGCCCCGCCCCTTGCATACCTTTCTCACGCCCACTTCTCCGTCCCCCTTCCTGCAATCCAGCCTTCCCTGTGCCTGACCCTTTCTGGGAATCTCACAGAACCTGAGAGATGCACCACCCCGAAAGGGGGTGCCTGCAGATTCCGGGGTGTCCAGGACCCCTAAGCCCACCGAACCTGGATCTGCTGACCCCACTGTTCCCTAGAATTTTGCCCCTGTGGCTACAAGCCTCCCTAGACACCTTCCCCAAGGGGCTTCCCTGGCCCAGCCCTGACCCGGCCCTCCAACTCTCGTGCGTGGACTGGGGCTCCCTGCTGCACCCCCATATCCGAGCCTCCTGACCACCATATCCGTCCTCAGTCTGTTCCGGTACAAGCACCCATCCGAGGAGGAGCTGCGAGCCCTAGCCGGGAGACCGAGGCCCAGAGGCAGGAAGGAGCGGTGAGTGACCCTGGACCCCAGGACCCCCTGCCAGCCCTCCCACACTTTAGGGAACAGGTGAATGGACAAGCACAGCCTAGGCCATGGTCACGTCCAGTTAGCCTGGAATAGTGGCTGGCCATGTGCTCTGGGCACCCTGTGGTTGGGAGGTCCCCATACCTGGGGGTGCAGAGGAGACGGGAGCGGGGACTGAAGACCTGAAGGTGACACAGGGCTGTCATTCTACCTGCTCTCTTCCTTGCCCACATCCCCCCAGGTGGGCCAATGGCCTTGGCGACGAGAAGCCACTATTGGTGCCCCGAGACGCCCCATTCCGGCTGGAGACCTGCCCCCTGACCACCGTGGACGCCCTAGGTAACCACCCTGCCCTGGACCCCCAGCTGTCCTCCCTGGGCCCCGGTCAGCACCCCGGGGGTCGCGGAGAGGGGGCTGAGCGCGGCTCTGCGCAGTGCTGCGCTTTTTCCTGGAGTACCAGTGGTTCGTGGACTTCGCCGTGTACTCGGGCGGCGTGTACCTGTTCACAGAGGCCTACTACTGCGTGCTGGCGCCAGCCAGGGAGACCAACATCGCCGTGTTCTGGTGCCTGCTCACCGTGGCCTTCTCCATGTATCCTTCTTCCCCGTCCTGGTGGGGCCTGCAGGACCCCGGCTTCCCCAGCCCCCAGTTGCTGGGTCCGTGATGTCCTGCTGTGCCTCCGCTGCCCAGATTCAGTGTTCTGGAGTTGGGGCTCCCGGGCTGCGGGTGGCGGAGCAGAGACCACTCCCTCCCCGTGCCAGGCCTCCTTAGCTCTGCCCCCCAGTAAGGTGTTCTTGACGGTGACCCGGCTGTACTTCAGTGCCAAGGACAGTGGCGAGCGCTCCGTCTGCCTCACCTTTGCCTTCGTCTTCCTCCTCCTGGCCATGCTGGTGCAGGTGGTCCGGGAAGAGACCCTGGAGCTGGGGCTGGAGCCAGGTAGGTGCGGTCCCCACTGTCCCCGTCACTCCCATGAGCTGACTGGGGCTGGTGTCCATCTAGCACAGAGAAGGCTTGAGGGCCCAGCAGGGTCCACGAGTGACCACAGACGTCCATGAGGCCCAGACTTGCACCCTGGATGCCCTGTTGGGTGGGCCTTGGGGACATGAGGCTGTCCCCTGTGTCACTGTCCCTGGAGGACGAGCCTGGCTGTAGCTGTTGCACTGCAGACTGCCCGCCTGGCCGCACGGTCTAATTTAACTTAGGGGTCAGCGTGGGGCCATCCCCAGGACTGCAGAAAATCACAGCAAAACTAACCTGGGGGTACATCTGCTGTGCCATAGAAACCACTGTCCTGCGTCCGCCAGAGGGAACAGGTTCTGCAAGCCCATGCAAAACGTGTCTGGCCTTTATCCTTTGCCTTTAAAATCAAGAAACAGTGGAGGTGGGGTTTGAACTCAGGGGCTTCACCTTGAGCCACTCCACCAGCCCCTTTTTGTGAAGGGTTTTTTCAAGATAGGGTCTGGAGGAACTGTTTTCCCAGGCTGGCTTTGAACCTTGATCCTCCTGGCCGCTGCCTCCTGAGTAGCTGGGATTACAGGCGTGAGCCAGCAGCGCCCGGCTGTGGATTTGTTTTAATTAGTCTGGCTTGATTGTGTCGCTCATTCTATGGACATCTCAGTTATTTTCCTCCAACAGCTAATCCCCCTCCAGTCCCCCTCTTTTCTCCCTCGGGCTCCGATTTGGATAAGCTAGCCTCTTTTCTGTACTTTTTGTCTTGGCCTCTCTTCCACCTTCTTGTCTTTCTCTGCATCTGAGTGATTTCTTTGGATCTGTCTTCCAGCTCATCAGTTTCTCCTTTGCCTGTTTCTAATGTGCCATTTAACGCCCTCTTGTTTCCGTAATTCTGTTTTTCCTTTAGAAGAGCTTCATTGGGTTCTTTTACAAATCTGTCCACTCATCCGAAGGCAGCCTCATCTTGTTAGCTAGTTCTGGTCACTGTGACTTTAGGGACGAAGGATGTATTTTGGTGCATGGGTTCAGAGGTCTCAGCTCATGGTCACCTGGCTCTGTTGCAGTGGGCCTGTGGTGAGAGAACGACATGGTGGGAGTGTGTGACAGAGCAGCTGCTCCCCTCATGGTTGCCAGGAAGCAGAGAGGCAGGAGAAGGGACCAGGGACAAAAAGTACCCTTCCAAAGCCTCTGGTGACCCACTTCCTCCCCCGGGCCCCCACCTGCTCGTGTCCACAGTCTTCCAAAAATGCCATCAGGTGATGACTCCACCTGTGGATTAATCCATTGATTAGGTCAGAGCCGTCACCCTCCTGGGACATGGCTCTATCTCATGAAAAGAGTCGTGCATAACTAGGACAAAAAGTTGCGTTGCAGCTCAGTGGTGAGCGCTCGCCTGGAAGGCCCGATACCCTGAGTGTGGGGCGGAGCACAGGGCTGGGGTTCCATCCCCAGCATCGCAAAATAAATAGATAAATGGAAACAAATGTCGTCCTAATGCCTGGCACAAGGCCTGGCCACCTCTGGTGCGGACCTCTTTGAGAACCAAAGGCTCTGGGAGGGGTCAGAGCGGGCTTCCAGACCTGGGGACCCACTCTGTTCCTTTCTCCCCTTTCTCCCCAGGCCTGGCTAGCATGATCCACAACCTGGAGCCACTCCTGAAGAATCAGGGCTGGGACTGGGCGTGAGTCCCAGGCATGGGGACAGCTGGGGGCAGGCTGGGTTCTGACCCACTGTGCGCCCCTCAGACCTGCACTTCTGCTCCCTGCAGGCTCCCCGTGGCCAAGCTGGCCCTCCGCGTGGGGCTGGCCGTGGTGGGCTCCGTGCTGGGCGCCTTCCTCACCTTCCCCGGCCTGCGGCTGGCCCAGACCCACCGGGATGCGCTGACCATGTCGGAGGACCGGCCCGTGCTGCAGTTATGTGGCCGCCCGGTGGGAGGGGGGTCTGGAGAGAGGCTGGGGGGCTGGTGGGACACCCCAGCCTCACTGCCACCCCTCCCCCCAGGTTCCTCCTGCACGCCAGCTTCCTGTCTCCCTTGTTCATCCTGTGGGTGTGGACGAAGCCCATTGCCCGAGACTTCCTGCGCCAGGCGCCCAGCGGGGAGGCCCCCTTCTCCCTGTGCGTGTGGGACTGAGGGGGGTCCAGGGAGGAGCCGGGGACGATCTGGGGTGGGGACGGCCTCACCAGCCTCGCCCCTTCCTCTCCTGCAGGCTGTCGGACTCGGGCTTCGACTCCCTGCGCCTCTGGGTGCTGGTGGCGCTGTGCCTGCTGCGGCTGGCGGTGACCCGGCCGCACCTGCAGGCCTACCTGTGCCTGGCCAAGTCCCGCGTGGAGCAGCTGCGGAGGGAGGCGGGCCGCATCGAGGCCCGTGAGATCCAGCAGCGGGTATGGAGCCCCAGGGGACGGGGCGGGGCGGGGACCCCGGGGTGGGGGGGGTCGCCCTGAACGGGGAAGGGCCTCGCACTGCGGCCACCACCTATACCTGCCCCCAGGTGGTCCGGGTCTACTGCTATGTGACGGTGGTGAGCTTGCAGTACCTGACGCCGCTCATCCTCACGCTCAACTGCACGCTGCTGCTCAAGACCCTGGGTGAGGGGCGGGGCATAGGGCAGGGGTGGGGTCTGGGAGGGGCGGGGCCTGGGGTGGGGGTGGAGCAGAGGGCGGGGGCGGGGCCTGGGATGGAGGTGGAGCAGAGGGCAGGGGCGGGGCCTGGGATGGAGGTGGAGTAAAGTGCAGGGGCGGGGCCTGAGATGGGGGTGGAGCACAGGGCGGGGGCCTGGGCGGGGCTTGGGATGGAGGTGGAGCAGAGGGCAGGGGCGGGGCCTGGGATGGAGGTGGAGCAGAGGGCAGGGGCGGGCCTGGGATGGAGGTGGAGCAGAGGGTGGGGGCGAGGCCTAGGATGGAGGTGGAGCACAGGGCAGGGGCGGGGCCTGGGGCGGGGCCTGGGATGGGGGTGGAGCAAAGTGCAGGGGCGGGGCCTGGGATGGAGGTGGAGCACAGGGCAGGGGCGGGGCCTGGGGCGGGGTCTGGGATGGCGGTGGAGCAGAGGGCAGGGGTGGGGCTGGGGAGAGGTATTTGGGCATACGACAGGAGGCGGGGCCAATGGAGAGGGGGTGGGGCGGGGCATCTGACAGGCGGGGCCAGCGGGAGATGTGGAGGCGGAGCCTGGGCAGGAGTGGGGCTTGGGCGGGAAGCTAAGCATGGCGCAGGGTGGGGTGAGCAGGTAGCGGGGTGGAGGTGGTGCTCCAGCAGAGATCATCAGGTCCCCAGGACTGACCCATCCTCTTTCTCCACCATGACCCCTTCCCCTCTCCTTCCATTCCCCCCCCCGCAGGTGGCTACTCTTGGGGCCTGGGCCCAGCCCCCGCACTGTCACTCGCCCTGTCCCCAGCCAGTGCGACCCCTGTCCTGCCCGGGGAGGACGAGGCCCAGCAGACGGCGGCGCAGATCGCAGGGGCCCTGGGCGGCCTGCTGACGCCCCTCTTCCTCCGGGGCGTCCTGGCATACCTCATCTGGTGGACGGCCGCCTGCCAGCTGCTGTCCAGCCTGCTGGGCCTCTACTTCCACCAGCACCTGGCCGGCTCCTAGCGCCGCCCTCGTGGGCCTGAGGTCGGGCCCTCAGCTGTGGACTCAGTGTGCCTCGGTGTCCCCAGCTGCAAGACGGGCTCCCGCTGCCCATGTCCCCCTCACCACGGTGCCTGGCCCTGACCCCCTGTGGACTCCTGGGAACTGGCTCCCCTGCCCCAGGCAAGCCACTGTTGTCGCCAAGCGTGTGCATGCAAGGTTTGAGTGGCAGCTGCCCTCTGGATGAATAAAGGAGAAAGCAGCGTTTTCAAATGGGATCCCAGGGGCGTGGGGAGTGGCACGCACAGGTGATGGCTTCCTGCAGGGCCGGGTGACCGCACGGCCTGGGAGGAGGAAGAGGAGAAGGGGTGAAGGAAAGGAAGGGCAAGCGGGTGAGGAAAAGCTCAAGGCAGATTGGAGAAAGGCACAAATGCAGGGGGGAGGTCGGGGGGTGCACCTGCCTAGCATGTGTGGGACCCTGAATGTCACGTCCCCAGCACTGCAAAAAAAAAAAAAAAAAGGGTGCTGGGGACATGGCACAAGTGGTAGTGCACCTGCCTGGCAAGGGTGAGGCCCTGAGTTCAAACCCCAGTACTGACAAATAAGCAAAGCAATAAAAAACCCCAGAGAGCTCGCGTCCAGCGATGGAGGAGGGCAAGGCCACGGTGAAGCAGCAAGGCGTCCGTGCAGAGGAGGTGCGGGGCCAGACGGGAAGATGGGGCTCCTGAGAGGGGGTCCCACTGGTGACAGCAGGACTCCCCCCGCCCCACGGCCTCAGCAGCTCTTAAAGGTCCCACCACCTCTTTTTGTAAAACCTTTAAGCCAGGCCCCAGTGGCTCCCGTCTAGAATCTTAGCTACTTGAGAGGCTGAGATCAGGAGGACTGAGGTTGGAGGCCGCACCACCGCTCCTGGTCATTCACAGGTAGAGCACTGAAGATCAAACGGGCTGGTGAGGGCACGGATGTCTTTGCAGGAATACTGGCGTTTCTGGCCGTCTTTGGGTAGGTCCCCCCAGACTTGTCCCGGACGTGGGGACAAGCCCTGACTCAGGGCTGTGGTCTGCCTGGGTGCTGACTCCAGGGATGGGGACGTGAAGACAGGGTTACCAATGAGCAGGTGGCAGAGGACAGCCCGCAGGGAGGTCCCCAGGCTGGGTGGAGGTGTGGTGGCACAGGCTGTGATTCCAGCACCCAGGCTGAGGCTAGGCAAACGCAGTGCAAAAGCTACGCCACCAGTTACTGCGGACGCACTGCGCATGGGCACAAGAGCCAAAACAAGGCCACTGGACGGCAGTGCCTGCGCTCCAGCACGAGGGAGGGAGGGAGGTCGAGGCAGGAGGCTGGGCACAGGAAGACCCTGGCCCACAAAAACAAAAACAAAGGAACAAATTTAAAAAGGAAATGAAACATGTTAACCCCAGCTGTTTGCAGGAAGAAGAGTGGAGAACAGGAGTTTAAATTTTTATTAAATATACTCTCTTGGCACAAGTCTTTAAAATATATAAACATTATATATAAACAAAGTGACTTCATGGCATCAAAATAGAACTCCCGACCAGCGGCCAGCGGGGCGGGGTGAGCCCAGCCAGGCCCCCGAGGGAGGGACGTGGGCCAGCAGGACCAGGGACCCTCGGCCTTCCCCTCCCGTCTGGCCAGCCATTCGCTGTCACCTGCCTGGGG